AACCTCCCAACTCATCCTGTGGAGTGGGGATCACCCTGATACCAAACCTGATGGCATTACAAAGAGGAAAACTACATAGCAATATCCCTCATGAACATAAATGCAAAAAGTTTAAGTAAAATTTTAACAAATTGAATCAGGCACTATATAAAAAGGATACTATATTATACAAGTGAGGCTTATTCCAGGAATGCAGGGTTGGCTTAACACTTTAAACTCAATCAATATTAATTAATCATATTAATAAACTAAAAACAAACAAACAAACAAAAAACCCCAAAAAACACAACACATGATCATCTCAGTAGGTGCAGAAAAATCATGACAAGAACCAACATCCAATCCTAATAGAAACTTTCAGCAAATGAGAAGGAAGGAGGGACTTTCCTCAACATTACATAGGACATTTATCATGATTTGAATTATGTCCCCAAAAAAATGTGTGTATCAATTTGGCTGGGCCATGATTCCCAGAACTGTGTGGTTGGCCTCCATTTTGTGATTGTAATTTTACATTAAAGAGGATTAGGATGGGATTGTAACACCACCCTTACCCAGGTCACATCCCTGATCCAATGTAAAGGGAGTTTCCCTGGGGTGTGGCCTGCACCACCTTTTATCTCGCAAGAGATAAAAGGAAAGGGAAGCAGGCAGGGAGTTGGGGACCTCATACCACCAAGAAAGCAGTGCCAGGAGCAGAGTGTGTTCTTTGGACCGGGGTCCCTGCGCCGAGAAGCTCCTAGTCCGGGGGAACACTGATGAGAAGGTGGAGAGAGAGAAAGCCTTCCCCTGGAGCTGACACCCTGAATTTGGACTTTTAGCCTACTTTACAGTAAGGAAATAAACTTCTCTTTGTTAAAACCACCCACTTGTGGTATTTCTGTTATAGCAGCACTAGATGACTAAGACAACATCTATGAAAAGCCTACAACCAGCATCACACTTAGTATTGAAAGACTGAGCACTTTAAAATGAGGAGCAAGACAAGGATGTCTGCTCTTACTACTTCTATTCCAATTGTACTGGAGGTTCTAGCTGGGACAATAAAGAAAGAATGGCCAACCAGATTTGAAGGAAGAATTAAAAGTGTATTTATCATCTAGGCAGAAAATCTGTTGGAAGCTACCAAAAGCTACTAAAATTAGTAAGTTTAGCAAGGCTTCAGGAAACAAGATCAGCATAAAAACTGTCAAATGCATTTCTCCATACTAGCAATGCACAATCAGAAATTAAAATAAAAAATACCAGTTACAATAGCATGAAAAATATGAAACACTAAAGAATAAATCTGACAGACAATGTAAAAGACCTGTACGCTGAAAACTACAAATACTGCTGAGACAAAAAAGGACCTAAATAAACAGAAATATGTATCACGTTCACGAGCTGGAATATACTCAATATTGTTCAGACGATATGTAGATTCATCACAATCTCAAACTGTTAGAAGGCTTTTTTGTGGAAGCTAATTCTAAAATTTAGATGGAAAGCAAAGGAACTGCATTATACAAAACAACTCTGAAAAATAAAGTTGGAAGAGTAACACTACTGGACTTTATAAAAAGTTATAAAACTAAAGTAATAAAGACAGTGTGGATTTGCTGTCAACAAAGACAAGTAAATCAATGGAACGGACTGTAGAGTCCAGAAACAGGCCCACACAAATATGGACAACTGGTTTTCCACAAAGGTGCAAAGGCAATTCAGTGGAGAAAGGGTTGTCTTCTTAACAAATTGTGCTGGAACAACTGGATATCCATATGCAAAAAAAATGAACTTTATAATCCATACCTCACAGCATATACAAAATTATCTCCAAATGGATCATAGATTTAAATGTAAAAGCCAAAAATGATTCCACTTTTAGAAGAAAATAAAGGAGTAAATCTTCATGACCTTGGGTTATATAAAGATTCCTTAGATATGACACCAAGCACTTTAACCACCACACCACCAGGGCTCCATATACCTCAATAAAGCTGTTAAAAATATTTTATTCAACTTTGGAAAAATGCAGAGATTCCATTTAGTCAGTCCATAATCTTACTTCTTTTGAAAAAGTGTAAACTCTGCCAATCCTAGGTTCAACATTCCCCCAAGGGCAACATTCCCCCAAGGGCAATAACAGCAGGGTGTTGCCCTTCTCCTTGCTAATCTCATTTAAAAAAATCATATCGTTCATTAATGTCTATGGTAGAAATAGTCTTCTGTTTCATTCCAAACTGGTTTAACTGTCTTTTATATTCATAGCCATCATGTCTGGATTTTCTGTTTGCTCTGGCATAGTTTGGATAACTTCCTTGATTTTTTTTTCTCATTTTATCTGAGATCTGTTTGAATTTCCTTTTGCACTGTAGGTGGAGCTGGTTATTACATTCCATTCATTTCTTTATAGCCTAAGTGAACTGTGAGGGGGAGAAGAAGTTCTCTAGAGGGATCGCCGCTGAGTCAGCTCCAAGTCATGGCGACTCCACATACATCAGAATAAAATGCTGCCTGGTCCTGCGCCATCTTCCTGATTGTTGGTGTACTTGAGCCCGCTGTTGCAGCCACTACATATTCTGAGTGCCTTTCAATCTAGGGGCTCATTTTCCAGCACTATCTCGGACTATATTCTATTGTGTTCCATAAAGGTTTCATTGTCTGATTTTTGGAAGACTGCTAGGCCTTCCTTCCCAGTCTGTCTTAGTCTGGAAGCTCTGCTGAAACCTGTCCACCATGGGTGACCCTGCTAGGATTCGAAATACGGGTGGCACAGCTTTCAGTATCAAACTGACAGATGGGGGGCAGAGAGTTAAGTATAGTTCTTGTGTATTAACCCAGGTTGTTCGCTTAGTTAGGAACATACATTAAGTTCACTGAGGCTGTTAGGGTTTATACTGTGTTCTCATATCCTACAGAACTTTGGAGATTTCTTCATCCCTGCTGAGACTGAGTACCAGCAGGTAGGGTTTCTGCTTTTTCCTCGACTTTTGCACTTGGTCTGCTACTCTCTCCCTCAGTCTATTCACCTGTAATTTCAGAAGTTATCTGTCACTTTAATTTTTCCATTATTGTTTTTAGGAAAGTGTGAGAGGAGCCAAAAAAGACATGGAGCTGCTGAAGAATCTTTGTGCCTTTATTTATTTATTTATTTTGGTGTGTGTGTGTGTGTGTGTGTGTGTGTGTGTGTGTGTGTGTTATGGACTGAATTATATCCCCCAAAAATGTGTTGTAAATTCTCACCTCTATGCCTGTGGTTGGAGCCCTGGTAGCGCAGCAGTTAACATCTTGGCTGCTAACCAAAAGATTGGTAGTTCGAATCCACCAGCTGCTCCTTGGAAACCCTATGGGGCAGTTCTACGCTGTCCTATAGGGTTGTTATAAGTTGGAATCCACTCGATGGCAATGGGTTTGTTTTTTTTGGTTTAACGCCTCTGGTGATAATTCCAACTGGGAACGGGCTGTCTTTGTTATGTCAGTGAGGCGGGATTAGTGTAGGGCATGCCTTGAGTCAATCTCTCTTGCAATATAAAAGTAATTAAACAAGTGAGCAGAGCAGAGAGGGGGGAAGAGAGATGCCAAGCCACATGAAGACTGCCCAGGAGCAGAAGCCCAGAAGAGACAAGGATCTTCCTCCAGAGCTGACAGAGACAGAACGCCTTCGCCTAGACTTGGCACCCTGTATTCAGACTTCTAGCCTCCTAAACTATGAGAAAATAGATAGTATGGTGGTTAAAGCACTTGACTGCTAACCAAAAGATCAGCAGTTCAAAACCATCAGTGGCTCTGCGGGAGAAAAAGCTGTGGCAGTCTGTTTCTGTAAAGATTTATAGCCTTGGAAAGCGTATGGGGTCACTATGAGTCGGGATCAACTCAACGGCTCTGGTTGTTTTTGGGTTTTAAACTGTGAGAAAATAAATTTCTGTTTGTTAAAGCCATCAACCTGTGGTATTTCTGTTATAGCAGCATGAGATAACTAAGACAGAGGTATTATAATTTTCCTAATTCTACTTGTTGCTACTGAATTTTTTGGGCTACTTTTACTACTTATTTTTTTTGCCATGTATTTTTAAAGGGATATCCTGTACTAAGCTTTATGCTGTAGATGGAAAATTGGGCACTTATATAAATGTTTGAGATTTATAATATACACATATTCTGGGCCACATCTAAACATTTTCCTCATGAACATATGAAATGAATTAATCTAACACATAATGGTCAAGGGTTTTATCTATTGAAGATAAAAAATCATATTTTGCAAAGTAGAAACACAAAAATAAACAGCATTTATTTTACCAGAATATCATGAATATTTTTTCCTACATGATTCTTATACCAAATTTCCCTTAAAATGTACATTTCATGGGCCTTTTAAGAGTTCCATAGGCAAAACTAATCAGAGTTTAATAATCTAGCTTCTTCCAGTTTAGAATCACCCCTCCCCCCAAAGACTGTTGCCACCAGGGGGGAAAAAGCCTACTAAGAATAAATAATACAATAACTTTCGAAAAAGGAATCTGGGGTAATTGTTCAATGACTAAATCTGATTGTGCCTAATAGCTGTTTTGTACTTTTTACAACAGTTTGACAACTCCAAAATATGCTAAATTCTAGACAAAAGGACAAAGTAACTATATGCTCATCGTAAGACATCTTGGTTTTTACAAATACAATAAAAATGTCTTAGAATAAAGAACCGTTTTCTTGTAAACATTTAACAAAGACACAATGGAAATATCATCCGTCTAGATTGGAAATAAGTCAGTGTGGTTAATTTACTTTAGAAAATAACAACCCGGACTATAGTCAATGGAATGAGGCCTTCGAGCGTGATACATACACCACAAGAACTCATAAAACCTTGTACTGATGCGGGTGTAAGTGCCCCACTCCATGACACTGACTCAGTAGGTGTGGATGGGTGAGCAACAGAGTCTACAGCTCCATAAACTAGACCTTTATTTTAAAGGAAGGGCGAATCCAACAACAAAGCCTTATGCAGAAGCAATACTCACCAGTACCGGAATTTGGAACCCAAAGTAAAATAATGTGCAAAAAAATTCTTTTGAGGTGGAAGTGGTCTGTCCAAACGGAAGAATGTGTGATGTTCCACACACGTTTTCCACAGATTTTTACACGCTCTGTAATTCACCATATTAAATCCCAGTAATGTTTCTCTAGATCCATGCTGTAACAAATGACACAATACAGAAAATACCAGGAAGAGATCAGAACCTAGTTTTCCATTAAATTTACTTTCTACAAATTATTCTAGCCTTGCAAACACTAATCCCTCTAATATCTTTTTTGCTTACCCAATAAAAAGAGCAGTAAAATAAAATATTTGCAAAATATGGACCTCAGTCAGTAATACCACAACTCTTAGGAACTCTTACCTTAGATCATAGTTAGAAACAAGTTAAAAAAATTGATTCATATTCATTTCAAAATTAGATAGTCTCTCTCCAGATATAATCCTGGCCCATAAATTAAGCTTTAAGATATATAATCACACCTTTTAACAACACCCCGAATTCTGTAAATTTGTCTGCATTGTAATTAAGTAAATTCAGCACCTGTGAACACTATTATTATAAAACTTAAATTTTAAAATAAATGAGCAATAAAATAGAAGCATTTCTTTAATTTTCTCTACAAGTTTAGCGCAAATAACTATTTTTTAAAATAGTTTTACTGAAGTAAACCATCCAAGCACACATCTCTTCAGTGTACAACTTTATTTTTCACACAATGACCAAAACCACTGAACCTCCACCCAGATCAAGAAGCGAATCATTACTAAACTCAAACCCAAACCAAACCCACTGCCATCGTTACTAGCACCCCAGAAACACTCCTTGTCTCCCCTTTCTTCCAGTCATGACCCACCCAAAGGTTGTCACTCTTCTGACTTTTATTGCCACACATTCAGCATGCTTGTTTTCAAACTTTATATAAATGGAATCACACAGTATGTGTTCTTTGGGTATGGTTTCTTTTGCTAAACATTGTGTTTTTGATATTCATCCATATAGCTGCGGAGTGATAATTCCCTCATTTTCATTCTGCATAGTATTCCATTATATGAATATACCACAGTTTATTTATCCACTGTAATGCTGATACACATTTGAAGTTTCCAGGTTGGGGTTACAAGAACAATGTTGCTGTATATATTTATACATAGATTTCTGTATGTTGTCTGGTGTACGTATGTGCGTATTTATGTTGCTGAGCCGTAAGACATGCATATGCTCAGCTTGAGTAGATAATGCCCAACATTCTTCCAAAATGAGTAGATCAACATGCACTCCTTACCACCAGCAGTGTATGCTCCACATGCTCACCAACCCCTACTTTTATCAGTCGTTTTCATTTTACTATTCTGGTGGGTGTGTAGCGGTAACACACTTTGGTTATAATTTGCATGTCTTTAATAACTAATGAGGTTCAACACTTTTTCAGGTTTACTGGCCATGTGGATATCATCTGTGAAGTGTCTATTCAAGTCAACAGCCTATTTTGCTATTAGGTTGGATATACAACCAAGGATGTGTGTGTGTGTGTGTGTACCATATACATATTCTGTGCTATTTTATTCTCTTAATGATGTCTTTTAATGAACAGAGCTCTTAATTTTAACATAGTCAATTTTTTCTTTTAAGGTGAGGGAGGTTTTCTTCTACGTCTTCTTTAAGAAATCTTTGCTTATCACAAGATCATGAAGATATTTTCTATATAACTAAAACACAGTAAAATGTCAACAAATTAGATAAAGTCAAACTATCATATTAGAATAGATAATGTTTAAACAGCACTTTTTGATCACCAGAAAATTAATTCTTAATTACGGTTAACAGTTGCCTTGTACTCACTAATATAGTTTATATGCTACACCACACGCCATAGACAGTATACACAACACAGAGAATGTCTCACCTTGCACGTGATGCAGTAATGCTTCTCGGTGCCAGTAACGTCCAAGACGCACATATACCACCTCCCCCTTTTCTGACACTAACATACTTTGCAAAAAGTTTATATGCAATTTTGACATTCTGCCAATTGTATCTGGAATGAAACTTAAAATTTTTCTGCACACGTTTTATATTTAAAAAGCCATATTGAGTTTTGGGGTATGTCGACTATGACCCCAAAATGTTATATTGAGAGATATGTAGATTCTATGAAGTTTGGGTATTAAAAAACAAAGGAGTGTTTTAGAGAGAAAAAACAAAGGTTACCTTCTGGTTTATATCTGTAGATTGTCCGTGTTTAAGCAATCGTAAGTTGATTTTTGTTTCTGTTGTTATCTGTGGTGAACACATTCCTAACTGACACTACCTCAGAGACTGGCTTCCGAGGAATAAATGATGTGAAAAGGGCTCTCTATGTCATCAGGGACGTAGTAAGCTCATAATAAATGTTAGCGATGACAGCTGTTACTATTATTACACTAGTACTAGTATTACAGTGGGAGAAAACAGAGACAAGTTGACTTCAAGGATGCCGTCTATCAATATAATTATTTAAAATATTTGCCTGTTCTCTAAGTTTCCAGATAACAAGATTTATCATATTTTATTCCTTTCAACATTTATTGAAACACACACAAGAATATTCATTAGCAGCATTAGTCAAATAGCCCCAACACAGAAACACGAAAATTGCCCTCTCACAGAGGGATGAATAAATAATTCATGTCTCTTCATTAGTGGAATACTATACAGCGATGGGGAAGAACAAACCACAGCGTGTGCAACATGGTGAACCAACAAACTCTACTGAGGGCAACCAGGCAGACACAAGGAAAACATACTGAGTCTACTCTTCCAAGTTCAACAAGAAGCAAACTAATCCATGGTGGTACAAATGAGAATAATGTTTTACCTTTTGGGAGAGTTAATGACTGGGAACAGGCATCAGTAGGCTTCTGGGGTAAAGTGTTATGTATTAATCTGGAAGGTGCTGATATGGGTATGTTCACTTTATCAAGATGTATACTTAAGATCTGTACACTTTTCTGTCTTATGTTTTATTTTAATAAAAATGCTCTTGAAAAATCCTACATGTTTTCTGAGAATAACTGATAAACCATAGTTACTTAGTAGATCAATATCCTTTGATAAAATACAGCTACTTCAAGTACAATTTTAAGATTTCAAATACATTTTATACACACATATATACACACAGTCAACCTGAAGTCCGTATTACTTTATCAAGATTTATCAGAGTTCTAACTTCAGACAAAGGTTAGACTGGACTATAGGACATAAAATGATACTTGTGAGGAGTGTTCTTCTTAGCTCAAGTAGCTACATGAGACTAAACGGGCAGCTTCTGTCCAGAGGTGAGATGGGAAGGCAGAGAGGGTCAGGAGCTAGTTGAATGGACACGGGAAATTCGGGGTAGAAAGGAGGAGTGTGCTGTCACAGTATAGGGAGAGCAACCAGGGTCACATAACAATGTGTGTACAAATTTTTATATGAGACTAACTTGAATTGTAAACTTTCACTTAAAGCACAATTTAAAAAAAAAAAGGTTTCTCACAACTCAGCAGAGTTCTAAGAAATTATGTAAGTAAGTCAAAGGATATGGCTAGTTGAATTTGCTGAAATAGATACAATCATATATGAGGTGAAGTTCTCTTAAATATGGCACTACTTTCCATAACAGCTCAATGTGTTGTACTTAATACATAAAAATGGCGTGACCATTCCAACGTAAAGAGGAAATGTGCCGTAAGTTCATCAACTAGAAACAAAACTAAACAAACCCCTAGCTCCCCTAAAATGAACCTACACAGGAAAGGAAGGGCTGCAGATGGAGTAGAGAAAGAAGAAGGACGCATAAAATACTCAGTTACTATCCTCACGAAAGGACCCTGGGGACCGAAGAGGGACCACCATGTGTGAGAAATCAGCCTTCCAGGTCCAGAGACAGCAACTAGTTAGACAGCTACACAAGCCTTCACTCAGGACCACAGACACTTGGCGGAAACACACACAAACTGTCACACAAACTCAATTGATTCACATAAAATTCAATTTTATAATTTTACTCGTCATATGTGTGTGTGTGAGCCCTGGTGGGAGAGTGGTAAGAGCTCAGCTAACAACCAAAAGGTCAGAAGTTCAAATCCAGTGCACCAGCTGCTCCTTGGAAACCCTGTGGAGCAGTTCTACTCTGTCCCATTGGGTCACTAGCAGTAGGAATTGACACAACTCCAGTGGGTTTTGGTTTTTATGTGTGTGTATGTGTCTGTGTGTCTGTGTGTAAGTCGTGAATTTAAAGGGCAAGTCCAGTTCCCTGCTACTGCTTTGAATTAATCAACATTTATAATTTTCAAATTACCTCAGTAGGTAGTTATCAATAGTATTAATTACACTTTCACTCTTACCAACAGAAAAGCTGTGCCATGAAGGATGACAGTAATTTCTTAAAAGACCTCATTTACAATTGATTATGATTAGATGAATACTCACCAATTCTTTTCTAAGTTGAATAAAAAACTGTTTGCACTTAAAAGAAATTTTTACAATCTTCAACCTGGATAAAAGAGAAAATAAATTGGAGCACTTAATGGAAATATTAACAAATTAAGGAAACAATTACAAAAATAATCTTTTAAGCGTAAATTTGTTGTTAGGTCCCATTGAGTCGATTCCAACCAATAGTGATCCTACATATAACAAAACAAATCACTGCCCAGTCCTGCGCCATCCTCACAATCATTGTTATGCTTGAGCCCACTGTTGCAGCCACTGTGTCAATCCATCTCATTGAGGGTCTTCCTCTTTTTCGCTGACCCTCTAACTTTACCAAGTGTGATGTCCTTCTCCAGGGACTGGTCCCTCCTGATAATATGTCCAAAGCACTTGAGACAAAGTCTCGCCATCCTTGCTTCTAAGAAGCATTCTAGCTGTATCTCTTTCAAGACAGATTTGTCCATTCTTCTGGCAGTCCATGGTATATTCAATATTCTTCACCAACGCCATAATGCAAAGGCATCGATTCTTCTTTGGTCTTCCTTACTCATTGCCCAGCTTTCGCATATGCATATGAGGCGATTGAAGACAGCATGGCTTGGGTGAGGTGCACTTCAGTCCTCAAAGTGTATCTTTGCTTTTCAACACTTTAAAGAGGTCTTTTGCAGCAAATTTGCCCAATGTAATGTGTCATTTGATTTCCTGACTGCTGCTTCCATGGCCGTTGATTGTGGATTCAAATAAAATGAAATCCTTGACAACTTCAATTTTTCTCTGTTTATCATGATACTGCTTATTGGTCCAGTTGTGAGGGTTTTGGTTTCTTTATGCTGAGGTAAGGCTGCAGTCTGATCTTCATCACTAAGTGTTTCAAGTCCTCTTCACTTTCAGCAAACGAGGTTGGGTCATCTGCATATTGCAGATGTCTCTAATGAGTCCTTCTCCAATCCTGATGCCCAGTTCTTCTGCATATAGTCCCCCTTCTTAAATTATCTGCTCAGCATACAGACTAAATAAGTATGGTGAAAGGATATAACCCTGATGCACATCTTTCCTGACTTTAATCCATGCAGCATTGCCTCGTTTTGTTCGAATGACTGCCTCTTGGTCTATGTACAGTTTCATGAGTACAATGACATGTTCTGGAATTCACATTCTGTGCAATGTTATCCATAACTTGTTATGTTCCACACAGTCGAATGTCCTTGCATGGTCTACAAAACATAGGTAAGCATCTTTCTGGTATTTTCTACTTTCAGCCAAGATCCACCTGACATCAGCAATGATATATACAAACACACATCCAGTACATAAAGAAACTAAAGTTTTTGTCATTTCATGGGAAAATAACTAGATTCTATGTGCTCAACTGAGGAAAGTTTTGCCAGAATATCTGTTATGAGTTATATATAATTTCCCAATTTTTTTTGTAGTCTAAAGAAATAGTTAAAAACACATTTCACAAATGAGAATTAAGAAATAACAGTAACATAGCTGTTTATACTTTAAAACTACAAGCAATACTTGAGAAAAAAATGTAAGATTTCAAGGTTTTCTGAAAGACTCTAAAGGTATTTTTATTTAATTTTAAACCTCACAATGATTTTTTGTTACCTTTCTTACACTGCCTTTCTTCTGACATGCATCCTATGTACTGCCACAAGAGGGCGCTCTCAAAGCTTCATTACTATAGTCAATGAGAGCAAAAGGAACCAGTCTCGTTATTTTCACATAACACGTAACAGCAGGTCTTTTTACACTGCAAGACTTAAGGGTCATGAGGCCAATGAGATTCAGTCTTACTTAGCTGAACATGCTTTGGGATCCTGTCTGAATCTTCTAAGTGAATACTGTCCTGGTAATTCTAAGTTTGGATCTTTATGACTCCTGGCCCTCCCCATTCAAGCAGCTCTCAGGCATCCCGCAAAAATAAACCTCTCACGCCTCAACCACTGGAGAAAACAAACGAGTAGATGCGACAGCTTTATTGTATCTATTTAGGGTGAGGAAGAAGAGATCTAGTTTTCTTGTTTGAAAAATTTTAATTTTGAATCCTGGGCTGTCATTGGACAGGGGCACCTAAGGACATGTCGAGAACCAGGGAAGTTCTCCTGTCGTATAACAGAGTGTATTTCTGGAAAGTGGGGGGAAAAGAAGATTGGGTATAACATAGTATAATATTTATGTAAGGAAAGAAAGCAAGGTACCTCAATCCAGAAAATGCTACAGTTACACATATTTTAGAAGTCATAACTAAATTTGTATTAAAACTCTTCAAACTGGCAAAAAACAAGCAAAACAACAAAAAAACCCCACTTGTTTCTAAATGATCAAGCAAAAGAAAATCTAAGTCAGTCTCAAATCACCTTCATTTCAACAAATCCCAGAAAAACATCAATGAATGAAAATCTCTAAACTAGATACTCTTTGGCATAAAACCTATTCTCGATGATTTGTATTTGCTCATAAATGTATTCTGTATGATTTATACGCTGTATGTACAGCTACAATAGATTTTTGCCAGAAAAATGCACGGTGCAAATGGTTAAATGCTTGACTACTAGCTGAAAGACTGGCAACTGGAACCCACCCAGAGGCACCTGGGAAGACACTCCTGGTGATCTGCTTCCGAAAAGGTCACGGCCTTGAAAATCCTATGAAACGCTGCTACTCTGCACACGGAATCACGAGTTGGAATCAGCTCAACGGCTACCAACAACAGCATTTTGTGCAGAATTAATATAACAGCTTTCTTCAGGCTTCCAAATGCCTGGTCTATCTTCTTCAGTCCTCTTACTTACAGCTGTCTGTCTCATTATGCTTTAGGTATGTGTCTTGTAAACAGCAGCAGATTGATTAGGATACAGTTTGAATAATCCAAAGAAGATATATAAATGGCAAGTAAACACATGAAAAGATGTACAATATCATCAGCCAACAGAAATACCAGTCAAAACCACAAAGAGATGCCACTTCAAACCCAGTGAAATGGCTAATATGAAAACAACAAATAAGTGCTGACAACAACGTGGAGAAACTGGGACCCTCATGCACTGCTGGTGGGAATGTACAATGGTGTAACCACTTTGGAAAACAGGGGTAACTGCTGTACGACACAGTGATGCAATTAATGCAACGGAATTGTACGCGTAAAAATGGTTCAAACGGCATAGGTTTTGGTACACACAGTTCACCACAATACAATTTCATCCCCCCCACCAAAAAAGCATTCCTTATTTAAGTTCATAAAGACATTCTCCTACATTTTCTTCTAAAAGTTATGGTCCGTACTTTCTTACTTCTTTAAGGACAGAAAAACAAATTGTTTAAAGTGAAAAACTTTATTTTAAAATGAAAAACGATAACACTAAAAATAAAAAACAAGTTAAAGACACAGCGGTTCCAGCCCTGGGTATGTCCTCAGAGAAGGGAAAACACGGCCCCACGAATGTGCACACTAAGGTTCACCGCAGCGGTTCCAGCCCTGGGTATGTCCTCAGAGAAGGGAAAACACGGCCACGGGAATGTGCACACTAAGATTCACCACAGCATTATTTATAACAGCCTAAAGGTGGAACCAACTGATGGATGGATAAACAAAACGTGTTAAAACCATATAAGGGAGTATTATTTGGCAATAAAAACGAATGAGTATTGGTAAATGTTACAACACGGACGGATCTCAAAACCATCATGTTAAATGAGAGAAGCCAGTCACAGAAGATCACATAGTGTATGATTCATTTATGTGAAATATACAGAATAGACAAATCCACAGAGAAAGAAAACAGATTTGTGGTTGCCTAGGGTTGGAGGAACAGGGGCAGAGGAAGGTGAACGGGGATAGGGAATGACTGTCAAGAGCTACAGGGTTTCTTTAAGGGGGCGATGAAAATGCTTTAAAATTAGATTATGATAGCTGCACTCTGTAAATATTCTAAAAACACTTAAATGTTTAAAAAATACAGTTCGATAATCTATGCTTTTTAATTTGAGAGTTCAATATGTTTAATTTTTAGTAGTATCTGACATACTGCATTTCTGACTTTCTACATGTGTAAAGTTTTTTATATTTCTTTTATTCTCTTTTCTAGTTTTCCTTCAGAATTATTTTTTCTGTTTTTATTGTCTACTGGAATGGCAATTATATAATCAATTTTGACTGCTTTAGTGGTTACCTCTGACGTGTTCTTCGTGTTTATTTTTCCCCCTCTTCATTTTTAACCATTTTATTGAAAGTACTGATTGACATTCAATAAAATGCACATATTTAAACTGTACAAATTGATACATTTTAACATATGTATATACTTGTCAAAACATCATCACAATCCAGACAGTGAACATATCCATCTTCCCCAAAAGATTCTTCCTGCCCCTTTGTAATGTTCCTCTCAGATCCTTTCCCGTCTTCCAACTCTCCCTACCCAGGTCACCACTGATTTGCTGTCAGTATAGATCAGTTTGCATTTTCTAGAGTTTATATAAATGGAACCGTACAGTAGGTACTCTTCTTCATTTCTTGTCACTCAGTTTAATTTAGATTCAAGCTTCTATCTTATGAAACTATCATCTCTAAAACGTCCACTTTTATTCTAAACTCTTCATTTATGTGAAAATTTAGTAACTCCACTAGTTAATATTTGGTCTGAGTATCTTAAATGTTAATATGAAATAAAAATAATTGCAATGTACATTATACCAATTGGAGCTGTGTGATGGTTAAGATTGTGTGTCAACTTGGCTGGGCCATGATTCTCAGTGTTTTGGCAGTTGTATAATGTTGTGATCACTTCCCTGTTGAAGTTTCATATGTGATGACCCCCATGATGGAATCTGCTGAGTGGTACCGGCGGGGGCAGTGCCTGTGGCAGCTCACCGCCCCCTAAGCCTTCATCTCTCCACCCTCCGCCACCTACTTCTTTCCTACTCGCCTTTTCAGGGCTTTTGGCTTGTTCTGGATCCTGCAGCCACCTCGTTTGTCTGACCTCCGGCTCTTGGGACCTGGGCTAGCAGCCTACCTGCCCATCCTGGGTCCGCCAGCCTGTGCAGCTATGTGAA